TCGCGGATGTTCTGCCAGCGGACCAAGAAGGGAGTGCCCGGCACGCCGGGCGTGGCAAAACGTCGCTTAGAAGAATAGAAACGATTGGTGGGAGTGGGTAAGTGTTCAGTCAAGTCACGTACTTAAACTTACGTCTTGGGGCCCATGACCAATGTATAGTGAATTCGGAAACTGACCGTCCAAAGGGTCATGCCCTCCACGAAACCATGACTGTTTCAGGGACATGTAACATGTATATTCCTCGCAGCACGTTACGGGACAATTTGACCCTTTTTCAGCTCCTCCTCCTGCAAGCTGCTCATGTTCTGCTGCGCCGCCGTCGTCCGCTCCACGATGACACCGATCAGGGACAAAGCCTTCGGAATTTCCGAAGGATGGAACCCACACATCCTGATGTCTTGCAAAATGTGATGATGGATGAAATGTAACGGTAAAGGCCAAATGAATTCAGTTGCTGGCGGCGGAGAACGGAGAACACCGACCGCCGTTCTCAGTCCACGCCCGGCGACCACCAGCAAGGGTTGCCTTGGACAACTCCCAGCGTGCCAAACGCTCATCCAGGATCTCCTCGCTGGGACCAACGGTGAAGCGAGCCAAAGGCTCAGAGGTGAGATTTGGGATGATTTGGCTGGTTTCTTGAATGCTTCAGGAGGTGTAATTAATGGATTTAGGATGATTTAGATTGGTTTTAGCAGGTTTGGTTGGCATGGTTCTGTTGCTTTGCTACAGTGGTTGTTCCTTCCTTTCGTTCGATGGATCGCTAGGTAACGAGTCATCATGAGTGATTGCTTCCGCCGGGCGGGGTACGTTCGGGCGCGGCCGGTCGAAAGGAACATCCGTTCAACGCTGTTGGTGGGAATTCAGTCACATTTCGATCCCTGAAGCTTCTTCAACCAGCAGTCACAATACGGGGTGCGATCTATGGAGGTTGGGGGTGCGAACATCCACTCACGTAAGGGGACTAAACTGGGGACTAAACACCACCCCGAGCTCTGTGACTCCTGGAATTAGACCTTTCAATTGGGTAATGATTCGGAGGCACCTTGCTGTTGGACAGGCCGGACATGCTTCGTGAAGGTGATTTGCAACTGTTGGCGGGTCCAGCGGCCTGGGCCGCTTCTTGGTACAGCTCAGCGGGAGACGGCTCCTGGTAGTCCTTGCGGATGGTCTCAGAGATGGACTTCAACACATCTTTCGACATGCTGACCACCTCGCTTCAAATCCGGCCACGCCGCCGACCAGCTGAACAACTCATCCATGAGAATTATATATATATATATATGAGCCTCTTACTCTTACTTCAAAAAAGATCCCCCCCCAAAAAAAGAAGTAAAAATGGACCCATCCATGTTCCATGTGATCCGATCCCGGGTGTCCTGTATGATTCTGTCCCACTACAGCGAGTTCCTTGGAGGGTCACAAGAATCGTCCACTGGACTCCCAGGGTGAAAGACCAAGGGAGCAGACCACAAGTTGTCTCTGACCGGGGTCCCATCTAGTACCACATGAGAAAGAGGCAAGGAGAACTCAATCTCTTGTGAATTTCCAGTTCACTTCTATAGTCTCCAGTTCAGCTTCCATCTCTCGGTTCCCACAAGTGGCAAATTCCCGACCGCCTTTTTTGTGTGAAGGCGCGGGTTGAAAGGTGAAAGTCCAAGACATAACAAGATGATTGCATTGACAGCTAGCCAGAGGCAGCGGCTAAGACTGAGCGCAATGGAAAAGAGGTCTCGGCGCACGAGCTGTACATGCCACATGTCCGCATGAGCCTCTGAACATGCATATGAATTAATGAGCCAAGTCCAATGCCAGATTCAAGCACCCCTCGCTAGGCTAGGCAGCTACGCCCCCCCCAAAGGAAAAACATTTTGCCTCATCAGCGAAGCAGAAAAGACCTTCCTCCTCCAGACGTCGCACCTCCGCAACATCTGCCCGGATCTGGTCATTTGAGCCCGCCAGCAGCAAATGGCCAGAAATCGTAAAAGCGTCCACTGTCACGGCAACTGCAGATCCACATGAAATGGAAGAGTTCAATTCCAGAAATGTAGCCAGCTTCTTCATCCTCTCATAGCCCGGTGTGCTTGTCACTGTGCCCGCGGAGTAGGACACCAATGATACCATCACACCTGAAGTGCCGAAGGCTCTGGGAATATCAGGGAGTGCGTCAAAACGCTCTTGACTCAGGGAGTCAAGAGTTGCATCTACCTGCGAGGTGCCTGTGAGCAATCGTGCCAAAGGAATGAATGCGCCGTGGGCACCCATCATGCGCATGTTCACTTCTACGAGACAAGGACCATCAGGAGTCATCTTGACCTCGGCATGAGTTGCGCCATTGCGAACCTGCAATGCATCGAGCACTGCACGAGTATATGAGATCATCTCCGGCGGACACTCCTTCGTCTCGAGGGGTCGCGCGGCCAAATAGACGAAAGTACTGCCATTCAAAGCTTTCTTCTCGTAGACCCAAGTCATCACAGTCTTGTGCACTCCGTTTCTTGAGACGTGGTCTACAGCATACTCCTGACCAGCAAGAAATTCCTGACACAAAATCGCAGTGTCAGGGGAGTCCACTCTCCTTTTCGTGGCGTTCAGGTGACTAAAGTGTTCCTCTGCTTCCTCCAGTGACTGGCAAAGCTTTACTCCGTCAGTGCCACCGGACTGCACTGGTTTCACCACCATTGGAAGCCCTAGATCCCCCAAGAAATCCTTCACATCCTGCCACTTGGAGCCACACACTTCACGAACCGCCCTTAGCCCAGACTTCTCCAGTGCCTTCTGCTGCACGTGTTTGTTCCGACGGTCGCCGCCCGCAAAGGCTGCGTTCCCCGAGCCATGGGGCAGAAGCCCCAAGTGGAGAGAAATGAGGTCGGCTAACTTGACCCCTGTTTCCATTCCGGGGATGCAAGCGCTCACTGTGGCAGAGCTGCTAGTGCGACGCAGCTGATCTTGGATGGCCTCGACGGTCGCTGCAATGGAAGCTTGCTCTTCCACTGCTTCGTAGCCATCACGAATCCCTGCCAGGGCTCCCCGAATCTGTGGTGTGCATTCTTTACTCCACAGAGAGACCACCCGAAAACCACGAGACGATGCAACTTCTGCCATCCGAGCTCCCGTGCTGACCGGATCCACAATCACAATGACTTCCATCGCACTGGTTTGTTTGCGTGTGCGACGGACCCTGGCAAACACAAACTTGAGCCCTAGCAACACCATGACACGATCAAGCCTCCTGGTTGGACATCAAAAGGACCGCTTCGATTCCCTGACCACTCAACAACCATGGCTTCTGACCTCCTCCAACCAACCACCGGCGGGTTTTTCGACCACTCGAAGCCGAGGTCCTCGGCCTGCCTTGGTTCTGGAGAGATCCGAGATGGAGACCCGAAGGGATCGGATGTCCTCGCCGAGGGGAGACGTGGGGAGTTGAGGTCGTCGAGGTATCCAGTGACCTGGTACATAGGACCCTACTCACCTGGGGTACCGAACACGTGCCAAGAGAGGTTATATAAGTGACCGTAAATAAGACCCCACTGGGGTACTGAACTGGGATGGTCGAAGTGTATCGAAGTGTTGGGTTCTGACCCACCTCTGTTCTTGGTGGAGTGTTCCTCGAGACGCCAAGTGAGCGGCCCATCGGGCCGACATTTCAGAGCTCGGCTCGGTGAAGAGCTTGGGCGTAACATGGCGTAACTGGGCACCACCCAGTGGGTGGTAACCAAAAGAGGTGCCACAGAGGGTGTACAGATTTGAAACATGCGGTAACCAAAAGAGGGTCATTTCAAACCCGCAAGTTGGCGTCAGACAGGGTGCTCCATCCCATCGTCCAGGATCACACAGACAGTGGAGCACCCCAATTGGGCGGCCCATCGTGGCCGGTCGAACCGCACGGGCCACGCGGCCGCTCCTCCCGGACCTGTGAAATCTGATGGTTCATCAGACCTCGCCCGCGGTCTGCCACGTCACCGGGGAAACCCAGAGAGAGAGAGAGAGAGCAAGCATGGGCGGAATCGCACGAACCGGACACCGGAGAGCGGGTGACCCGCTAACGACACGAGGACACGAGGAGAGAAGTGGCACGACGCCGGACACGTGACGCCAGTGGTTCGTAGTTCAGATGGGTCTGGACCCAATCACGACCACCGACATGACCCTGTCCACACTTTTGGGACATGGCATCCCCAACTCCGAGCTACATGAGAGGCTGAGAGGATTGCTGTTCGTCCTCATCCTGTTCGCATTCATGCTCGAAGAGTGAGTCCTCAACAGAACTTCTTGACTGACAGCCCTTGGGGGCCCAAAACGGCTAAAGCTACGTTTTAGCTGACCCAAGGGCAACCTTTCTCACCACAAATCACCCAGCTCCGCTGACGCCGCGGCATTTGCTCTGGAAGTCATCGCACCAAATCAACCGGCAGATCCTGTCGGCTGACGCACGGGCTGCGAACACACACGGCGGTTGGCCGTGTGTGTTGTACACGCGGTTCACTACACTGACTATACTTGTATACATTATTATGTTTCGATGTTATGCATGTAAAGTGCATATGATCTGATATGGGTATAGTGTGTGCATATACTGTAAACAACATGCCTATATAAAGGGAGTTGTCCTGCCACAGCGGCCGTGCTCCAAACCCAGATCTATTCTCCCAACCCATGCCAGCGATGCGCCAAAACACATGCAAAAAAAAGGACCAAGCGCACGCTTTGACAAGTTGTTTTGGCCTCGCTCCTCCCTGAGCGTGCTTGCCCACATGGACCGACGACGAACACGGCGGCGTTGGATTCAAAGCCCAGTCACCCCAGCAAGAACTCATAGCCTCGGAGGCGTGAGTTGGAGTGAACAGAGGTTGAAGAACCCATATGTGCCCCAGTCGGGTCCTATTAGGTCGCTGAACCTGTGTTGAGTTTCGAGAATCAAGATTAGAGAAGGCGTTGAAAAGTAAAAAGGAAAGGCCGGACAAGGATTGATACCAATGCCAATGACCAATCATGAGTCATCTTAATTTCTCTATCAGGTGGTTCGCTAACAACATGGTCAGCTTGTTCATTTTCAAGGTGGAGCAGAAGCAGACCAACATGCTTCCGCGAAAAGAAAAGTCTATCAAGTCTACCACGCTTATACCTACTGTATGTTCCTGGTCACACTTGCCTCTCATCAGTCCCTCTTTCAGTCTTGTCATTGGTCCTGTTCATCGCTACCTAGTTGTCGCAACCAACCTGGGCAAAGTGAAGGCCCATTGGCCATTGGTCATTAAGAAAAGAAACACCTAAAACACTTCTTCCCGTTTTTCCTCCATTCACCGTTCTTTGGCCTCATCTTCCTCTCAAGTCTGGACAAAGGAGACTGAGTCCCTTCATGTCCCTTCACCTTCTTTCGCCAGATGACACCAGCCCGCACCTTCGCCCGCCTCGCTCGTCGCTTTGGGGCCCCCTGGCGGTCGAGAACTCCGTTGCCGTCGGTGTCCAGGAGGCCAAAGAGGTCCTTGGCCTCAAACCTCAGCGAACGGACGACGCGTTCCACTGTCCGGAGCGCAGAATCGGCTGAAGAGGGTTAGGAGAAGTTGGCGTCGATCGCGGCATGGCGTTGGACGAAGCTGGCTGCTTGACAGCTTTCAAGTTAGGACGATGATCAAGGAGTTGGTCATAAGGCTGATTAATGGCTTGTATACAATCCCATGTCATCAACGTCCACTAAAACTTGTTCAACAGCCATTCTTTCCCGCCGTGAGAGGCAAATCCCGTCGCAGAAATCCTAAAAGGCATGCCGAAACTCAATGACTTGGGCTGTGCCGGCGTTCCCTCCCGGTGACTGTTTCTCTCCACATCGCACAAGAAAATCCTTTCCCATCCTGGCAATCCAGAATGAAAGACCATCACTGCAAAATCCCAGGTGTGTGGGACGGCCTGGAGAATTCTTGTGGAAGTTCACAAGAATTCCAGAGGCACCACAATGTCAAGACCTCCACCTTGAAACACCGTCACTTGATTTCATTGGCTCAACAAAGCCACCGCCCAACTGAACTCTTGGCACCAGCATTGGCTTCACTGACCCCTCCAGTTCGGACTGAAATGGCACATGGCCACAATCGACCTATATAGACCTAGAAACCTAACTGACCAGCCAAAACATGATCCTTTTGCACCCTTTTGCCCTATCGGAAGGCGGTCATGTCTGCGTTCCAGGTTCGACTTCCTGTGATCACCCCGCGGAGTCTTTTTCGGACAAAAACCGAACGGGCTGTGACTGCTTCCGCACCCCGGTGTTCCAGGTTTTCAGGGCACCCGGAGTCACGGTTTTCCGTGGATCCGGGGCGCTCGGTGATCAAGTCCAGTGATCACCGGTGTGGCCTCCGGTGATCCGGGCCTCCGCGCCCAGGCGGTAGATTCAGCGCGGCAAACTGGCGTGGAGCCGGAGGTCCGGAACTCAGAGCTAAGTCTTGGGGCATCGGGATTGGGGCCCGGGAAAGCTTCGTAGGGGGAAGAACCTGGTTCCAGGAACCAGGTTTTTTTCAGATTCACCGATTCCAGGGGAAGCAGATGAATGACAGTTCGTCCAAGCACATGGCACCACCAAAATAGGGCAGAGTGCGGGACGTGCAGGGCAGTGCGGAGGCTGCTTGGGGCTCTTTTGACACCATCCAGCTCAACTTAAGCGACCTGATTTCCAGATCCCCTACTCCATCCCCTGGTCCCTATAGTGGTTTCAGAGTAGATGGCACAGACCCCACGGAATGGTTTTTATGAACCCCCATCTGAAGGACATCACGAGGTCTCTAGCTACTAGTAGTCACGGCCTCCAACCTACTAGCGATGGCCTCCAGCCTTTGTTACTACCGTCAACGGCTCCAACAGGCCAGCTGAAACGATCTCCGCCGCATGAGGCTTTCGTTGGACCTCGGCTCGAACCGTGGCTCGCTCGTGGTGGGCTGAGACATCGGCTTCAGCCCAACCGGGGTGGTCTAGTATAGAACAGTGACCTGGCTTGAAGGAGGAGCGTGTTTTGGAGATATTCCCTCTTTTCGAAATCGTTTATCAATGTATCAATGGTGTTGGGTCTTGGGGCTCTGGCAGGTGGTTCCATCCCATCTTCAATCATCACACCTAAACCAAACCCAAACAAAACAACACCACTGGAACCAATGATGTGATTTGGGACATGCTAGTGGGGTCGATGCCCGGTTATGATATACCTGTTGGTTGTTCACTTGGGGGCATCCCCTCATTTAATCAACCAACCAAGGGCGCAAAAGGCAATCTATGATTGGATCACTTGTTGAAAAACTATTGCTGCTATGGCTCCAGGGTGGTCGTGGACCCCTGTGTTGTTTCCTGTTCCCAGACAGGCCCTGTCTGTGCGCCTTGAAGGGTCTCCCAGGTGCTTGACTTGAATGAGATCTTTTGAGCAAGACCAGGGGGATGAATTAGGGACCAAACAACATACCAAAACCATGTAAATGTAGACATATATTCAATAATTCGGAGCCAAGCAATACTAAACGTACTAAACCGCCTCATGAACTGCCAGAAGGAAAGAACCAAAAACTGTTGGCAAGTCAGTAGGCCCACTGTTTGCCGCCATTCCGCAGGTTGCTGGCACTGGCATGAAACCCCGGGTTCTGTCCCGAACACGCACGTCACAACGCACCTTGCCTCTCGGAACTCCTGGAGGTTAATGGTCCCACTCTTGTCCTGCCATCGGGCGAGCAAACTGCCACGTGTCACTACGCTTGTGGCATGTTGTGCTCTCTGGTGTTTCCATGTGGAACATGCTCAGAATTGGACATGTTGATACCTTAACTGGTTCCAGGGCAATCTGTCGGCAAAAAGAACGACTGCAGGCCTTGCGGACTTGTCTGTCATAATCATGTGGATAAGCCCTGGAAACCTCCTTTACCCCGAAAACCCCATATCATGAGAAACTCGCCGCAAGCTTGGGAAACCTAATCTTTCCCCCGAGCCTTCGCCTGTGCTGAGAAGAAAACTCACCGGAGCCCCGGTCTGGGCGCTTCACCGGACCTCATCGGAGGCGTCGATGGCTTCCAACAACTGCGCGACCTGAGGCAACGCGGGTCGGGCGGAGAGATGAAATGAGATCATGAGTCAAGTGACCAGTACATGAGACATCACCAGAGTGAAGCACATGAGTGACCAGAATGAAGTACATCTAGTTCATGATGAAGTGCATCCATCCTGGGACCCTTGAAATCGCCTTGGGGCCCTTTTGGCAACGACCTGCAAGTGCAAAGTGGCATACATGCTCCAAGCGGTTCCCCTGTAGATACCGACTCCTGCCCTCTCTCCTGGGCGACAGCTACAGGTTGAGCGAGCAACCACTTCAAGCCCGCCTTGTCATGGTCACTTCAGGTAAAACGTAAAAATGCCTGGCCTTGGCCCGGAAAACCTACCAAAGCACAGGGGTCTCCACCTGCGAAAAACCACCAAAGCACCCAGAGCCCCCCGGCCATGAGCATCTTAGTCTCGCGGATGTTCTGCCAGCGGACCAAGAAGGGAGTGCCCGGCACGCC